AAATACTGATTGTAAATCGTCATGGATATAGGCAGTTTATCTCTTCCTGGAACTGAATATTGGAAAGGATACTCACCATCTTGAAACTCTGCGCATTCCCATCTTACTTCAAATGCAAAATCTTGAAACTCTACATCAGAGTAAATTGTCACTTGTCTATTTTCTTCTGACAACGGAATTTCAAAATCTATTTTACGGCTCTCTATTATTTCACAAGCGAACAAGGTTTTCGAACTGATTTCTAATTGCCGCTGCGCTACGTTTATAAATGCTGGTGGTTCTCTGAGGTTGGCGCTTGATAATAGTGATGCAGTGTTATACGAAGTAAGTAGAGCTTCAAATTCCCAATAGTCGATATTGTGGAAGAATATCTGGTTAATATCTCTTTTTTGCTTTTGGCTATTAAACGCAGCCTCGTCTTTAGAATAGTAATTAGTTATTTTGAAGATAACATCGTCATTTTGAGATTGTATTTCGACTTCGAGGAATCTACTAATGTTTTGTCTAAAGGATATTCTTGCTGGAGATAATACTTGACTAGCATTCAGATAAGAATCGGGTGCTACGTAAAGCTTGCCCTCATAAATTTTGATAATTCGTTTCATCTTTAAAGTTGGAGTATAGCAATAGTGAGAAACTCTGGGTAAATTGCTATCTAAAATAAGACTATGCTTTCAGATTTTTTCCGAATTAACTTCCCTTATGGAATATCTAAAAACGAACATGGCTATTGGATGGCTTTTAATAGAGAGTATCTACCTATAGGTTTCAATGGTGGGAATAGCATCGATATTAATGCCACAACACAATATCCGATTCACACAAATTATAAAGGCTTGACCGAAAATATCTTGCTGGAATTAGCGGGTGATGAAACGGCGGTAAGCCGGGACAATAATGGTAAAATAATAACTGTGTTTCTTTATGATGATAGAACAAATCCAGTTAACCAGACTAAAGATAATGTTGAATATTGGGATGGGTATTTTAGCAAACTAAAAATGCTGGCAAGCATCAAAATTTAACTTCTAGAATTTAACCTGTAGAAGCAACTAGGCCGTGAATTTATTTCACGGCCTAGTTATTATTTAATGTTATTAATATAATCTGCTAGTCGTTGCATCATTTCTGTTCTTTCAGCAATGAATAGCGCTCGGTCATATGCCCGGTCAACA